TAACAAAATAAAATGAGTACCGAAAGAAACCTACAATCTTCCATCCCCATCAATACTTATGGCCCAACATGCACGTATACCAAACTTCCAGAGTGGAAAGGAAATTAACACTCAACGGCTATGAACGAAGAAAAGATTTTATGTAAAAAAAAAAGAATTTCAAGCCCCAAAAGTAAAAAGTGGTTGATATTATAATAGAAAAATATTTTTACAAGGTGGAAATATTATTTTGGCAAGCTTTTTAAGCTTCTTCTACAATATAAAACTGATATATTTCTCCTTATCTAACCGTCTATTTTGAATAGAGGGCTAAGATTGCTCCATTCATAATGTCACATCTCTACACTATTTTATTTTTATAAACTATTTTGACATCAAATTTTGTACATCCAATCCTATATTAAACTCGCATGAGCGAAAAATATAAAAAGAATATTTCTAATAAAATAAAATAACCAAAATACCCATGAAATATTCTAGGGATATTTTGATCATTATATTTTATCAAAAAATTATTTTTAATATTTTTTATAGGTGCAGCCCAATAAAAATATGATACGTACCAAATTTCATGTTCACGCCATTTTTATAAATAAATTAAAAATAAAATACTTTGAGATGTCGGATCTAAAGTCAAACGATAAGCGGCTCTCTTAATCAAAATTGGACGGCTAGATGGTAAAAGAAGCATGGATCTTCTATGCTAAAGGGAAAGTATAGAAACCTTTCCCACTCTGTTTTAATCCTCTATATATGAAGACGATGCTAGATTTTCATACTGTCTAAGACAGGATTGTTTATAAAGAGAGCCTTCATCTTTGGAAAAAGTTTATACAAGGTTGCAACAAAGGCGCATCGGAAAAGGTTGTTTTAATGAAGTTTATACAAGGTTGCAACCAAGGTGCATCGGAAAAGGTTGTTTTAATGTTGAAAAAGTTTCTAATTGATCATCTCGATATCGAGATATAAAAAAAAAATTAAAAAAAATAAGATTTTGAGTGCAAGAATAGTGCATCTTGCAACAACACATTATCTAAATCGTCCATTTTCAAGATTTTCATATGTTTATAGATCTACTTGATTTTAACTATTTTAGAGTTTAAAATTTTATAATTAAATATAAAAATAGAATTTAAGATAATCCTAAGAATTTTTTATTCCAAAATTACATATTATGATCAAATTTAGAGGTGTGCTTTAATTGGATTGTTTAAGGTTGCAACCTTATGGAAACCACACCCTTTATCTTTTGTATATAAAGGTTATAGTTATTATTGTCCCTTAAATTTCAAAATGGATGGTTCTAAAAGTGTCATTGAATAGACACAAAAATCCAAAAAAGAAATTTCTCAAACTTTCGTGACTCATCTCAAGCCATCCAATTTGATCTTTAATGAATGATTGTAACCTTTATATATAAAAAAATAAATAATTTTTTTGTAAACAATCTCAAATAAGACATTTCAAATCTACACAGTTTATCTAAAATAAATAGTCTTTGAGGGCAACCTTAGTTCTAAAAGTGAGGTGGCCATTTCATAACATCACACCCATTACAATATATCTTTTTGAGTATTAATTTTTTTACTATTTATAAATCCACCTTATTTGCACTATGTTCGGAGCTTCAAAATTAGTAATCAAAGATTGAGGCCATGGCTGGTTTTCACTACCAAAACCTCATTTTTCAACAAGGGTTCAAATTATGTATATACTTGGGAAAATATATGTGTACCTTTTATTTTTTGCTTCAATTTCTCAAGAGATTCGGGAATTTAAACTGCTTCTCGTAGCATAAAGTCTCTATTTTTTTATGTTTCTACCTCCTAGATCCCTTTGACCTTACATTATTGATCTAAACATTTTGTAAAATGACCCCATCTCTATCTCTCAAAACTCCATATCTCTCTCTTCTCTCTCTTTGAAAGCACCCTCCCTCACCTCTCTCATCCTCTCTTTGAATTTTTGGAGCATGTAAAACGATACTCTCATTCAATTTTTCTGTGGTTTTCATGGTTGATTCCCCAACTGATAAGGCCTTATCTTTCACTTGAGAAACAAATTTCCCACCCTTTATTCTATAAGAACGCTCATTAGACTTTGAGGGTTCAATGGTTTGAGTTTCTGGAGAGAGAAGAGGTCTTAGAATTAGAAGATGAAGATCCACGACCTTTGAAATGAGCATCATCATCAAACGGGTTGTTAGAGAATTTGCCACGAACAGGTGCAGAGGAGGTTCTTGTTAGTTTGGAATCAGACTTAGGGGCCGTTTCGATACCTGGAAATATATTGTCTGTGAAATATATTGTGGGTGTAATACATTACTATGTAATATATTACATGCAAATAGATTGTCACTGTTTGTGTAGTATTTAGATGCAACTTGGGAAATACATTTTTATTATTGGCTATGTCTGGAAGAAATATGAGAAATGCATTATTATTAAAATATGAAAAATATGGTTATGTTTGGCTAATATGATTAGACTTTGGTTTCAACATGATAAGTCATTGGGATAATATGATTTTGTTTTGATAAGCCTTATTTTTATTTATTTTTTATAGAAGTCTTTCAAATGTCTCTCTATTATATAATTTCGAATAAGCAATAAATTTATGATAAAAAAATCAAAATCTTCATAGTACAAGTTAAAAAATAGGAGCAATTAATTCATAATACCAAAATCAAAATTTTCATGGTACAAGTTAAGAAATGGGAAGAAGTTTGATTAGTAAACTAGAAGGTTTGGTAATTGCAGTAGAAATTTTTCAAACATTAGAAGAGACTAAAGGGGTATCTTATTTCAATTGAGCTTTTACTAACATCTTTTTAGGTTATGTTGCGCAAAAAAAAATTTTATGATTTTGTTGTGTAATGTCTCATTGATTACCAATTATTATTTTTATTATTTTTGTTTTTATACTAGAACTGATGGCGGGTTACCACCTAAATTGGAGATAGAGGAATGTAGAAATTTTTTTTATTATGATTGTAGTACAAAATTGTCCCTCATCAAGTTCTATAATTGTTGAAATCAATATAGATTTCCTCTCATTTTCACTTATCAATTATTAAAAAAATTTCTTTTTATATGAGAGTAAAATGACAAACCAAATTGGGATAGAGGGATGTAGAAATTTTTTATTATAATTGCAGTAGAAAATTGTCCTCCTATACTTGTTCAAATCAATTTAGATTCCTCTTTTCATATCCCCTACTTTTTACTTTCTACCTACCTTAATAATTATCTTTCAATTTTTACCTACCTTAATAATTATCTTTCACTTTCTACCTACCTTAATAATTATATAATATAACGTATACTTGAAAGAGGAAAATGTTTTTTAAACAAGGATACGGCAAAGAGACAGAAGGAAATGTTTTTAAGAGAGGATACAACAAAGATACGGCACTTGAAAGATTTCCAAAGATTACATATCAACCTGATAATAGATTTTTCTCCGAAGATTACCCGGCAACCTCGTAATAGATTTTTCACCTCTCACCGCGTGTAATGGATTTAATGATTTTTAAGAAAATCTCGAATAATGTCTTTCAATTTACTATTAAAGTGTACCCAATGGATTTAGTGATTTTTAAGAAAATCTTGAGTAATCTCAGATAATGTCTTCCAATAATTTTTAAAAAAATTTCGGATAATCTCGTATAATGTCTTTCAATCTCCTTACTATTAAAGTATACGTAAACAGTGTATATGTCATATTTCCTTGTAATCTATTGTCATGTAATAGATTTTCATGTACCCGGATTCGAAATCCCCATATGAATGCTTGAAAACCCTAGGTTTTGAAGGTGTTCTTGAGGTGAGTCTTTCCTTTTGCTGATTCCACCCTAGGTTTTGAAGGTGTTCTTGAGGTGAGTCTTTCCTTTTGCTGATTCCTAGGTTGAAAGTTGTTGATTTTAAGTTATATTTCGTATTTCCGCAATTTTAGTTGAACTTGGATTTTTGGATTCGCTTCAGTAATTTATTTTTTTCAATAGAGTTCTCTTTGAAGACATCTCAACGAAGTTTGAGTTTTTTTACTATTCATCTTTGTTCTTTTGAAACTCTTTCCATTTTTGGGGGCAAAAAAATAGATGTGGAGTTTTGAAAAAGACAGGAGTTTTGACAAAAATAGATATAATCATTTTACAAAATGTTTAAATCAATAATGTACGATCAAAAAAATCTAAAGAATAAAAAGATAGAAAAAATAAAGACATTATACAACAAAAAATAGTTTAAATTCTTAGATCTCTTGATAAATGAAAGCCAAAAATAGAAGATATAGAGATATTTTTCCTATATACTTGCAGGGGATCGTGGCACTGATAGCATCTAGTAAAAAAATTTTTTTTATTAAAATACACCTTTGATACCAAGTATTCAACGTTGTGCCAATTTTCATCTTTTGAACATCTTTTCAAAATTAAATGAAAAACACCGTATAAAATATAATTGATCTGTGTATTTTGATAAATTCCCCCCTAACCAAACAAATACGACGCAGCCCAAAGTAACATACAACGTATCCAAAGTACCAACACTAAGAAAATTGGATGGCCATAACAAAGAAAAAAATTGTATACAATGAAACCATTTATATTTATCTTTAATGGTAAAAAATCAAATATCTTTAGTATGTCATAAAGTTGAAAGAAAAATATTTTGAACTTTAAGCTTGACCAATTGAATATATGCAACCATCCAACTTTAAATCTTATAATTTCAAATCTTAATGGAATAAATGCAACCATCCAATTTCAAATCTTATAATTTCAAATCTTATAATTTTTCGACCTGAAAGTTTATTTTTATCACTAACCATAAAACTTAAAACTTAAAAAAAATAATGTAAATCAAACGAATCTATAAATACTTGATCGATTGAAGACTTTAGGGGGTGCATCAAATCAACCTGTTATAATGAATTCATAATGTGCTGTTTAGGGCATCCCCCTTGTATAATCTTTTTCTAATAAAAAAAAGAGATAATAATAAATAAAAGAGCATCGGATGCCACAGCTCAAGTCCAGTTGATTAAAAGTAAAAGGGCTATACATCGGTCAAAACAAAAAGCAAATGAAATTGCTAGGACTGGGCCCCACCACTAACCCCTCCTTTACTCATATTATCTTTGACCACATCCACCAAGAACGTGACGGGTAGGACCCCACCCAACCAACCAACCCCTGACCCGTCTTTTGACTTAATCCCACAAAGGACAAAATAAAGAAACCTCTCTCCCCTTCTTTCTCCTCCTTTTCTTTTTCTTTTTCTTTTTCTTTTTTTTTTTTCCCTTGGAAAATCCTAAAAAAAAATGTCTAAAAACTAATCAAGCAAGACAAAAAAAAAAGAAAAAAGGAAGAATAGTAGAAAGGAAAGGTGGTGCTTCTTCTCTTGAGAGCCAAATTTACACAAGGTTTTTCTTTTTCTCAAGCAATTGAAAAGATTTATAGCTTGGAGCAAGGGAAATAACCTCTCTCTCTCTCTCTCTCTCTAACCTTCTCTCACTAAAAATGTGTCTTTCTCACTCTATTTTCTCCTGGTCCTCCAAAGTGGTCCCTTTCTCTCTCTGCATGTCTCAAGAATCAATGACTAGGCCTGTGCTCTCAGATATAGAGCGAGAATGGCTGTGTTCCCCTTCATAAGTCACAATAAGCATGGCTGGATCATCAGAGGCTCTCTCTACATGCTTTCTAGCAGGGCACCCTCTTACACTGCTACACTTGTAATAGCCCCTGCATAAAAGCACAAGAAAAATGAAAAAGAATTCCGTTTTTACACGTATATATATAAAAAAGAAATGAGTTTTCAAACTCATATATATAAAAAGAAATAATAGTGGTGTAAAAGGTTTTTGGAAGGATAAATCAGGAAAAGAGAGCATTGTGATCAATTGAAAATTTCTTTAAAAAGGAGAATTTTTTATGCATGTAATGATTTTACAGAAATGGGGTAAGCAAAAAAACAAAAACAAAAAAAAACAGAAAAGCAAAAACAAAATATTGTAGCTAATTAGTTGTGGGAATTTAAAGAAAAAGCAGCTAATTTTGAATTTCAGTCAATGACTCAATAGAAAGGAGAACCAAAAGTAATAGAGGGGAGAACCAAAAGTGATTCATAATGTGATCGCAAATCAGCCGGTGAACGGCAGAACCCGGCCGATTAAGATCGGAACTGGGCACTGGATGGTTTTGGCGATCCGAGGCAGGTCCGATTTATGAAACACTGACATTCACATAATGCTAAAATTTGTCGAAAAAAAGAAGGTAGAATCGTCTTTCAATCAAAACTAAGATCCCCAATATATAAATCATTCAGGCATTAATCATTTTTCTCCTTCCTCATCAATCTAACCTTGGGTATGGCGATCCCTTGATTGGCTTCTGTCCATATTTTCTCCAAGAATATTCATCAGGTGGAATATCAGCCATCTTTGAGCTTATAGCAGGCACTCTAATACTCCTCTTCACTCTGTTCTTCCTGCAAAAAATATCAAAAAGGAAATCCAAATTTTCAATCACCCATCAAAACTCAGGAGCTGAATCAATAAACACAAGTCAAAATAAAATAAAATATATGGAAAATTGGGTTTTCCTTGTTTTTTTGTCATATCCAAACACTAAAGCGAAACAAAAATCGAAGGATAGGGTCTTCTTCGTTTTCTGTTCAAAGTACCATCTCCAAATAATTGAAGCCAGACAAAAAAGAGAGTTTTTCTCCTCAGGATTTCTATGTTTTTATTCAGAGAAACATATCCAAAAAACCAGAACAAAACGGGAAGAAAAGGGAAAAGGCTTTGGGGTTTTTCAAAGTACCTTCTCTTAGAGCAATGGCACCTTCCTGGATTCCCACACTTTCCTGAACTCTCATCTGGTTTCTCATGGCCATGGCACCTCTTCTTATAAGAAGAGCTCAATGGAGGCCTACCATTTGAGACCACAATCTTCCCATCCAAACAGCTCCCATCTCCAGTTACGGAAGAAACAAATGAGCTCGAATTGGAAGACATCGGAGGGGAATCAGAGAGGCTGAACCCCATGTTATTGTTCCCCTCTTTCATAACAACCTCACAAGCACTCACAGGTTTGGGACATGGGGGTTTCTGAGCCATTTCAGGGCTCGATCGAATAGGAGCCAGCTCGGCCATCGAGACCAGGTTCGATGGTTTCCATTCCCTTGACTCCAGAAGAGGGTTTGGCTCTCTGAAAGGAGCAGAATGGGTATTAGTGGGTGCTCTCCTGAAGCGAGCATGGCCTGTTCTGTTGAGAATTGAGATAACTTTCTTGAATTTGGTGACTGTTGTGTCAGTAATGGACATGCAGTCCGCGGTGGGCGAGCTCGGGTTCGGCTGCCGGCCCAAGAGCTTAACCAGTTGGTCCATGCTCCTGATCCCAGCTGATGCGGCCTCTTGCAGGGCTTGGTCCTCCATTATGGGGTAGGCGTTGTTGGTGTTGTAGCTCATGAGTTGAACCGCCATTTATAGTCGTTCGACCTCAGATTTCCATAAAATTGAGAGAGAGAGAGAGAGAGATGGGTTTTAAGAAAGAGGGACAGAGTTGCTGGTTGAGATTGGTTTTAGAGAGAGAATTGCAGTATTGTGATGGTTTCAGGATTGCAATACAGAGAGAATCGATATTTTCTTGAGAGAGAGAGGGACTGAACTTCAATGGAAGGGAGGGCGGTAAGAGCGAGAGAGAACAGAGAGGTTTGCACTGCAATGCAGAAGAGGGTAAATAAAGAGAAGAAAGGAAGAGAGAGAAATAGGGGAAAAGAGAGAGAGAGAGAGAGGAAGGGGTCGAAACGTCTATGACAGTGGGGTGCTTTAATGGATGGAGAATCAGGAAAACCGGAACGACCGGCTATATCCGGTTAAAGGTTAAGGGGGAAACAGCTTAGAAATTCTTCCGCTTTTTCCATGCTTTATTTTAAAACTTCATTCATAAGATTTGACAAAATGGGACCTGATCCCTGGACGACTTAGCAAATTACCAAATTATCCTTTCCCTTCTTAGACTTCTCAAATTTATTCACAAGATTTTGGATGGAAATATTTAGGACCAATTTTCTTTTGAAATAATGACGGATCGATACTTCGGTGTTTGTTATTCTAGATTTGACCAATACAAGACTTAAAAATGAACTCAAGGCAAAAGGTGGTCAGGATAATAGATGCTACAACATTATGTTTTAAGTTCAATTTTTACTATAAATAGAAGATCATTTACCTTCTGACATACCCAAAAAAATAAATGAATCTCTAAATATTGTGATGAAATGAGTGATTAGCATAGACAAATGTGATGAAATGAGCGATTGGCATAGACAATTAGACAAATGTTTTTTTCGTGCACTTTGTCAATCTTACACGAAGTTTAACAATTGAAACCTCACTTCAAGCTAAAAGACCAAAACTTGGTTTCATATTAACAGCCCCAATAAAGTCAGAACTTGCAATAAAGCCATTTTAGCCAAACACTTAGCATCATCATAGCTTGGAGAATTCACTTCAAGATAACAGCTTATCCATGACTTGGATGTTAGAACCAATGATTTAAAAAACATAACAGTGGCCCCGATCGGGCACCCCAAATTTTGATATTGAAGGGTGAATCGACAGTTTTGACCGCCATTTTAACCTACAAAAAAGAAAAAAAAAAATGAAACAACCAAAAATCAATCGAGATTGGTGAATCAGTGGTTTGGATCACCATTTAATCGTAGGGAATTACCATTTTACTATGTAGAACCGCTGGTTCCCTTCTAGACTCGTCTTCTACCTATATATATACGTTGAACCGAAATGGGTGATCGATTCTCAAGTCGGACCAGATGATTCAATGTTGACCTGATATTTTTTAAATCACTAGTTAAACCCTCTAATCCCCGGCTAAAAATCGAGTATGGGCCATTCTATTCACCTAACAATATAAAAAAAGAAAAGAAAGTAAATTTACTTTAGTATTTTAAACCTCAATAATTTAGTCAATGCAAATCTGGTGACTTTTATAATGTTTTAGAATACTAATTTACCGGAGTTGACTACTTTGTCATTTTAATTTTTCAAAGGGTACTTTTACCATTTTTATCTAATGGCTATTTTCTTTATTTCTATTTTTGGCAAACCTTTTAACAAACAGCAATTCGCCACAGGGCACGAGTATATCACTGATTTTCAAAAGAGAGTTTTCACTACTCCCCTCTGACCGGTTATAGCAAGTTGACCTAACCAGCGTTTCAACTCGATGATCTAGCCATTCATTTCCAGTCGGTGAGATCGTACGGCCCACATTTCCCTAAGTATAAGTTTGACAATTTGCCGTGTACCAAGGACTTTTAAAACTCTAAAATTGGTTTTAAATTATGAATGTCAGACTGAGAGAGCCATGCGCAACGAAATTTTGCCACGTGTCTTGACGGAACTGCCGTCCGTAAGGTTTTCGTGCTTCACGCCGTTGGGGATGCCATTAGGATTCCGTCGCGGTAACGGGGTCAAACGACCGAAAACGTCAGGGTTGACTAAAAGCCAGGAGTCATGAATGAGAAGAGTGCAGTTCGGGCAGCTGACCGTACGTTTGGGCAGCTTTTTCTTTTGCTCGAGCTGCCCGTTACTTAATTCAACGACTTAGCTACAGAAGTCCGCGATTTTCTTTATTTTTTTTTGTGGCTTTTGCTTAAAGACTGTGCTCTTGCGAGAGCATAAAATCCTAAAAGACTGTGCTCTAATAAAATCTTATTCAGAGTAGTTTTAGGATTTCAAATTGGAAATAGTTCCATAAGGCCGCATCCTAATCAAAATTAATAAAGTTTCATCTCATAACTTATCAAAAATTACAATTCAAGTATTCAAAACCTTTATATTGATCATATTGGCTTGAATATATGGTTGTGGAAATACATTAGGATTTCAAGCTCTAAAAATGATGTATAATGTAATAAATTATCTAGACTGGTTATTTCACTTTAAAAATAAGTGTTCATAGATATGCAAGATCATTACTATTTTTTGAGTTTCAAATTTAATTGCCGGTGTTGGAAATTGATTTAGTGGCCTCATTGAGATTTTCTTGTCGAAAGTGCTTTCCAAACGAGGGTTTGAGGTGAGGCTTAATTTTGTTTTCATAAAGCCTATGCCTTATAGAAAGCTCATCCAAATAATTCGGGGTTTTATGGTGCTGCCGAAATGAGCATACTTTTTGGCCCCATTCGAAAAATGGAATTCGTGTGTAATGTTCTTACGATGGCCTAAAAATGTGTTTTCATCTTAATTACGAAATTTAAAGCTTAAAAATAATACAGATCAAGCATATTTCTATGCACTTTAAAAATCTTGAAATTAGACAATCTAGATAATATGTTAAAAGATACTTCTTTTTTTAAGACTTGAAATACCTTCTTTTTTTTCCATATCTTTACATCTGAGGTCGACATGATCAAACCGAGGGTTTTCTAGTGTCAAAACAACCTTTTTCAATAGAGCTTTGAGGGTGCCTTACTTATGTAGTATAAGACTATATCTTATATAAACTCTTACAAAATTTGAGGATGCAACTGGTTATTGTGATACTAGACAGGTTGATGTAGTCCAATTGATAGTTGTTTTAGCCAGTAATGTCAAATCAAAAATTAAATTTTGATTGAAAATCAGTCAAAATCAATATTTTACTTATTTTGACAGCTTCATTTGTCTGGTTTTAATAAGTTTGTCTAGCTAAACATGGTTAGATAGGTTTTTAATGTGTTTTGTATTTTTAAATTATTCATCTTAATTTTAGTTTTTAGAATCCAATAAAAAACAATTTAATTGATGTTCGACTCAGTTTTAACTGGACCAAACCCCTCATTGGTTCAATAGCCGGTTTAATTATACCTTGATATAAAACTAACTTTAAAAAATAAAAAATAAAAAAAATTAAGGCTTCTCAAAACAATTAACATTATAAAATTGAAAAGGGACCGGCCAATAGCCAAAAGCCCAATTTGAGCGTTCAAGAACTCGGACTTTACTTTTCTTTCATAAAAATAGACATTTCATTGTGAAATGGACTTCAAAATTTTATCAAGAAATTTAACATTTACTAATTTTTATTTAATTTTAAAAATCCCATCAAAATGCAAACAATCATGATTTAGAATGGTTTAACTCATTTGAAGGGTTACCATTATTACCAACCAAGGAGAAAATATAAAATGAGCATGGAGATGAACTATTTAACATTTATTAATTTTTAATTAATTTAAAAAATCCTATCAAAATACACACAATCAGTGGAATGGTTCAAAATGAGTTAAATGTTAAATAATTAATAATTTATTTTCATAAATTTCTGGAATGGGAGTAGATGTACATATGGTCGTGCTGGAGCATGCTATTCTCATTCCCCGTTTAATACTTCATCTCCAAAGTCAATCATGGGGCAATCTGGAATATCATGTTTACATGTTTCCAATTTTAAAAAAATTATTTTAAGGCTTTAAAGAAGGAGAAAGGCGTTGAAGGCATATATGTTAGTGGGATACAACGAACGGCAACAGGGAATAAGTTGAAAAAAAGTAGGGAGAGAAAGTAAAGAGAGAGAGAGAGAGGAGCATCTACCATATGATACGCATGAGTATACATTTTGATTTATTTTTTCCACTTGGTCAATTTGATTGTTTGTCAAAGGCCTATAGTTTTAGGTTTGGAAAATGGTTTGATAGGGCTGCAGCCCTATCAAAATAAATAAAGCCTCACCTCATAATTTATCAAAATTATAATTCAAGCAATGAAAAACTTTTAAATCGATCATCGGCGTGAACAGATTAGTTGTAAAAAAAAAAAAGATTTTAAACTCTAAAAATATGTATATTGTAACAAATTATCTAGCCGTTTATTTCACCTTAAAATTAAACGTTGATAGGTCTGTAATATCTGTACTATTTTTTGAGTTTTAAATTTTATTATGAGTGTTAGAAATTGATTTAGATCCATCGTACAGATTTCCGTTGCCAAAAGTACTCTCAGAGACGAAAATTTGAGGTGAGGCTTTATTTTGTTTTCATAAAACCTAAGCCCTATAGAAACTTCATTCATTAATTGGGAGAGTTTAGAAAGAGAGAGAGGGAGTGGATGCATCTAACACATGATACGCATAGCTATACACTTTTGATTATTATTTTTCACTTAGTCAATATGATCGTTTTTGGGTTTTATTATTTTTGTGGACTTTATAAATTTCATAAAATGTTTTGGTGAAGGCGATGCATGTGGGTTTTGGTATATGTCAACCAACGTGTGATATTGGCATGTCAAGCACGCACCAAGACCATGTCCTCTATACACAAATCTTCTCTCTCCTCCCCCTTCTTTCTCTATCTTCTCTCTCTCCTGGTTTCACACAACTCTCACTCTCTCTCCTCGTGTCACACAAATCTCTCTCTATCTCTCCTATCTCACATGGTGTCAACGGGTTAGTTCACTTTTTCTTTGACCAACCTGAGGCCCATGATGAGGGCCATAGGGTGCAGTAGAAGCCAACTCAAAAGAGAGGGACATGTGCTCTCTTTTAGTACATTGAAACTGGACTTGTCTGGTGAGGGTTGGATCTAACCATTAGTTAAAATGATGAAAGTTTTGTTTTTTAAAAAAGAAAAAATTGAAACATAAAATATACTAGAAGAATTGTTTAGCTTTGTTGGTTGTTTTAATAAGTCAAAATTTGTTGTTCCATCATATTCAAATTAATCAAAATTGGTTTTGACCAAATTTGGGTTTTGCTTTGGACCACAT